TGACTTTAAAGCTGGATCCGCCCCTGATCCACTACGGGGGTTAAAAGTGAATTCACAATTTTGCTGTTGTGACCATCATGGAAAAACATTTTTCCAGTCAATATCGAAAATGAGAAGTAAATTTCAATTATCCAGGGATCCGCCCTTGAGTTATTCTGGCAGGAAAATTAGGGCTAGTTTTCTTCAGATAGAGAAGTTAATAAAGGCGCATTTTTTCCTGACAATTCAAACTTTCAGCGTTTGCAATGTTTATAGATAAAAATACTTTTCAATTATTTGTTCAATTTTAAAGGGAGAAAAAATTTCTTGTTTTTTTTTGCTAAGATGCGCGGTTTTGCGTTAATGAACCGAAAAGCTGAAATAAACGGAAAATTCTCGCAGCATTTGGAGCGTGCAATAAATTTAGATATCAGAATACCACAGTTACCTGAAAATTTTCAAAAGTCGCTGTAGTTCAAATATGCTTGCTTTTGCGACACTGAGTTGGATAGTTTTAAATAAAATAATGGTAAATCGCTGCTTGTCTCCAGAATAAAAAATATGTTTTGGTTCTCCGTTCGATTTTACAGGGAAAAGCTGTCTGGACTTTTTTTCTAAAATCCGCGGTCAAAAGCCTTTCTAAAGAGCAATTTCGTATTTACCTGGCTACCTGCAGAATGTCACTCTACGGATTTTCATCCAAAATGAGCCAAAAAGTATCTGTAGTTAAAATCGGCCTGCTTTTGCGGCACCAAGTTTGATATTTTTAAAGAAATTAATGGTGCGCCACTGCTTTTGAAGGAAAAAAAAACAAATTTTCAATTCATCGTTCAATTTTAAAGAGAAAATCTCTTTAGACTTTTTTCTAAAATGCGCGGTTTTGCTGAAAAAAATTAAAAATTTTCCAAAATGAGGAATTCTGTAGTCGAAAGAACAAGTTTACATTTTTTTATGCAAAACATGCCAAAAAGTCACTGAAGTTCTAATCTGTTTGCTTTTGCGGCACTGAGTTTAAAATTTAAAAAATATATACGCAATTGTTTTTACCAATTTAAATACTCTTTTTGAATTCTTCGTTTAATTTTACAAATAAAAGACTCGTTTACCTTTTCTGATGCAAAGCGCTTCTGATCACAAAATGTGTAATTTGCAAACCGTGAGCTAAGTTTCATGTAGTGTGCCCTCTTTGGGAGATGATTTTGTAGTTTTAAGTTAGTTAGTGAATAATAATGGAGGAAAATGGCGTGAAAACTTCCTAATATTTATCTGCAGTTTTTCAGCATTTTTATACAAATAAAAGTTAAAAAAAAAACATTAACCGATAAGGGATAGTATCTATGCTATTCTCCAATAAGCATTTGCCATAACAATTTTTTTGGTTGTTTTATAACCGGGTATTAAAAAGCAATATCACTGTGTTTTTCCGATAATGTCGTTTTCACAGATTTTGCTAAACATGGACTAAATTTTTCCATTAGAAAACAGAATTATTGCTTATGATTATTTAAAAAACATTAAATTAATACGCTTGCAATAATAACGTTGAGCTTTTCTACAACATTATAAATTCAATCGAGAAAATGACGATAAGAAATGTGAAAATCAATTAGGCGCATATAAGAAATACCATCATTTATCAAAAGCGTTTGCTTGCTTTCCTTAGCAAAGTGATTATTGCTCAGGCCAGACGAAGCAAAGAAAAACAAAATATAACTTTCCACATTCAACTCCGGTATCAAACGTTGCTACAATGAACAGAAGAAAAAAAACTGAACAACCTTCAAATGTTTTTCATTAAATTTCCTTGTACATGTGATTTACTTACACTAAGTCCTACATGGCACCTCTCACATAAGTAAAAGTTGTTTTATATATCTACAATTAGGTGGTCGCATTTGATCGAATTGGTTTTCTGGGCTATTTTCGAACCAGATCAATGGTGCGGGGTGCTTTAAGAACACCTGGCGGAAATTTTATAGGCTCGTAGCGAATAAATCACTTAGAACAGCCCTAAAACCATTTTATTTATGCCACTACCATACTTGGATAATTATGAATTCTAGTTGTGTAAATCATTTTGAGTGTTTGCAATAAAAAATAATTGAATTTTGTGAAAAAGTGCAATTTGCGCACAGGTTGGCAAACAACGAATAGTTTGCATTAATTTTGTCTTTCTTTCAGCAAATAGTTGGCGTGTTACTTTCAAAACAGCAATGGGTGCCATACGGATCATGTATCTATCTCTCTATTAAAAATCCATCTTATATAAGTCTGGACAGCGGGCCGGTCATTGTTTTAGTTAATGGAGTGGAACGCGATTAAAAACCGAAAATTTAGTAGACCATTAAAACTGGGACCAGCAGCCAGTGTGTTTGATGAATGTAATTAGTTGGAAAAGGAATTGAAAGCAGGGGCGGATCCAGCTTTAAAGTCAGGGGGGGGGGTTATGTAGAAAAAAATATAGTCTTCTGTTATCTATGAAATTAGAAAAATTATCGTCGTTTTGTGCAAGGGTGGCGCAAGATTATTGCAAAATTTCATGTTTTCCGTCCCGTTT